GGCTAAGTTAACCCATGATTGGATTCCCTTCGCAGCACCCATAGAAGGACCGTTCAGGTAAGACAACGGTCATTCCAAAAGAAAAATGTGAATGATCTCAATTATTTCCAAGATTTGCATAGTTATTTTTAGCTTATAGATTTTATTGGTAACAAGAATTTTACATTGCAGTTAGGTAACTCTGTATTTGTATCCTTTTATACAGTGTAGCCACATTTAATTATATAAAAGTTATCTAATGTAAAACTCTTCTTTATAAAGTTTGCTTCTTTTACCATGATTCAAAGAGTTTGTATGAACATTATTAATACTAAAAATTACATGCCAGAGTAGTACCCATTGTGAACAATGCCATCTGATAATGACATGATGCAGATTTGTCGAGCCAATTTTTCTTCAATAATAGTCACCAGAAAAAAATTATACCCAAACTGTAGATTGTTGTTGGGAGAACTTACATGTCTCATTATTATTTTTTTACCTGAAAGGCTAGAAATAGTCCTGAAACAACACATGTAGATACAGAAGAGGAAAAAGAGGCACTGCCATGGGATGTGACCAAAAAAGTGCGTTTACACAGCATTTTAATATACAACTTCTAGGAAGCATCTACATTTTGATGTGATATCATTGTGAAGTCAAGTAAGAGAAGCTACTTAAATATATGCAAGAACCTATATGGGTAGTCCTCAACTTACGTCCACAATTGAACCCAACATTTATCTTGCTAAATGAATCCCCCCCCCCCCCATTTCACAATCTTTCTTGTCATAGTTGCTAAGTGGATTACTGTAGCCGTTAAGTTATAACACAGTTGTTAAATGAATCTGGATTCCCCATTGTTCAGACACAAAAAGTGATCACATAATCATGGGATACTGTAGCCATCATAAATATGAGTCAATTGCAAAGCATCGAAATTTTGATCAAGTGACCATGGGGATGCTGCAACAGTCATAAGTGTGAAAAGCAGTCTTTTTTCAGTTACATTGTAACTTTGAAGTGGAACTAAACACATTATTGTAAGTCGCGGACTACCTGTACAAGTGGTAGGTTTTTTTCCCCATTATCCCATAAGTATTTTACATATGAGACCACATGAATAAGTCAGACTAAAATAGTTTGTGTACTAATGCTGAGTTGGTTTCTGCTTGTGTACTAAGCAGAAACCAACTCACTAATACACAGGATCTGAGCTCGTTTATTTTGATGTGATTTCCCTAAGGTTAATTACAAATGTCTCAAGATCCTTTTTTATATTGATTTAATTAATTTGGGGAAAGAATTTATCTTTAGTTAGACTTAAGAGAAAGAGGTGACTTGTATAATAGGATGAATGACAATATATTATTTTAAACAACAGATTTTTTTCTTCTAGGCGGATCTAGTAAATGAAGACTCCCATCAACCATCTGATCAGACAACAGAAGCCAACTTAGACTTTTTTGAGTCTGATCCCTTCGTTGGTAGTAAGTATGTTCAGTTTTCTTTCCCTAACAACTTACTAAAGAGTCAAAATGATACTTCAATTGATCTTTGAACCAAATACCCAGTGAGTCAGCTTAATTTCACTGGATGCCTTTAGACAACATTTGATGAGAGTGGATTTCTGCAAGGCAATTGAACTAAATCAATTTATACAAGATTTTGTTAGATATTAAGTATAGTAGTCCTCAACTTATGACCATTATTCACAGTTACAACCTTGCAGCATCCCCATGATCGTGTGATCAAAATTCAGATAACTTGGCAACTGGTTCATACTTATGACCATTGCAGTGTCCCAGGGTCATGTGATCACTTTTTGCAACCTTCTGACCAGCAAAGTCAATGGGGAAGCCAGATTCACTCAACAACCAGGTTACTAACTTATCAACTGCAGTGATTCACTTAACAACTGTGGCAAGAAATTTCATAAAATGGGGCCAAACTCACTTAACAAATTCTAACAACAACATAAAGTTTTGGTTCAATTGTGGGCATAAATTGAGAACTACCTCTATATTATTTTCCCCAGTTAAATTGTCCTTGTTTGAAAACTTTGCCTTTAAAAAAACAGTACTAAATAAAGGCTAAATAACTGAAGATCTATCTATTGTTGCTCAATTGATGTCAGCTCCATTAGATAATTAGAGACCAATTATTCAGTCACTTTGTATAATGAAATGGGCAGCATGTAAAACTCCAAGGAAAGCTAAAACAGATTTTGAGATCAGCTATAATAAGATAACTTGCAAGTCTGATTATGCTATACCTCCTCCTCTTCCTCCTTATAGTTGTGAGCTTATCTTTTTGATTCCAATTCTGAATGTTATCTGGATGTTTTAGATTTAAAATATTGTATTTTTCAGTCTGTAAGACTTTTTTTCACTCCCCCCAAAAGTGAGTGGGAAATGTCCATGTGTCTTATAAACTGAATGTTGCCGAAGTCCTGCCCACCTGCCGGCCCCCACCCTTCAGCCTCTGCTTCCAAGCAATTTGCCTCCTTGCAGCAAACACCAAACAGCCTTGTCAGCTTCAGCACAACCTGGTCAGCTTTAGCACAAGCAGCTGATTGGTGGTTGGATCTGCCTCTTGCAATACCATCGATCAGCTGTTCCAGGCTGCAGAGATTGCTGCTGCCTACCGCTGCCTTCGCACCCCCATTCTGCTGACTGAAAACGGCACACACAGCTTAAAATGGGAGGTGCAGAGACCCAAAACGGGACGTGCAGAGGCCGAAAATGGGCTGTATAGAGGCAGCAATAGATGGCGATGGGCAGCGAGGGTGATCCCCGTAGCCTGGGACAGCTGATAAGGTGGTATTCTGGGAGGCAGATCCAACCGCCAATCAGCTGCTCATGCTAAATCAGGCTGTGCTGAAGCTGACCAGGCTGTTTGCTGGAAGGAGGCAAATTGCTGGGAGGCAGAGGCATATTTTTTATTCTTGTTTTCTTTCCCAAAAGCTAGGTACGTCTTATAGTCCAAAAAATGTGGTACATTTTACCCCTAGTTCCATTGGCAAAAGGGTTTCATATCTCTGACAAGATCATCTTCCTTAGTTGACCTGGTTCCTGATCTCTATAGTTAAGCTACATTTGTGTGTCTTTCTGTTTCTGGACAGTAAGACTTCCAGTGGGTAAAAGTCCAAATAGTTATCAATGGATATTAGTGAAGATTTTTTTTAAAGCTATTGCTGTATCTAGGGAAGCCTTTTCTGTTCTTTGGAAAGCTCCATGACCCTATTCCTCAAGGGGTTCAGGCACAGAATCAGATACATATAAATCTTTATCCATAGCCTGATATTCTGATATTGTCCTGATATTCTGAACAAAGCCGAAAAAGATTTTTATGGACAATGTTTTACTTTCTAAATAGATGATCCTTTCAAGGATGACCCATTTGGCAAGATTGGTGAGTGTTTGTTTTCTTTCCTTTTAATCGTTTAAAAGCAAAATTTTCAAGATGTGAATTCATAATTAAAGAATGTTAAGAACTGCATAATGGGGTGGAATTCTTTATTTGTATAAATCCCCCAGATATTTTGGTTTCAGTTAATATATCAGCAGGCTAGAATGATGGGAATTGTAGACCAAACATTTGGAGGGGGTGGGAGACCATTTTGGAAAAGGGTCATGTACATTTTAAAATTGAGTATGTTGAAGTAGCCTTTACTTTGGGGAACAATATGCAACATGGAATATTCATTAATGTTCTAATTGATAAATACCTAAACTACCAATATAATAGTAAAGTTGGGCTCATTTTATAGTTTTTGTGATAAATATTTACAATAAGAAATAACTAAGCACACCTTCTAGTAACACTGTCTTCACTTCGTTGTTTTTAAGATCCTTTTGGTAGTGATCCATTTAAAGGTTCAGATCCTTTTGCTGCTGACAACTTTTTTAAGCAGTCATCCTCAGATCCCTTTGGGAATATTGATCCATTCAGTGCAACCAACAACAATTCCACAGTAAGTCTGAGAGAAGAGATTACTATTGTTTGTATGGCAGATTTTGATATGAAATGTCTCCATTAGGTTTCATATAAATAATCTTTGCTTGTTCCTTGTCCTCTATGGATAGATATATTTTACAGATATTAGACATTTGATCTTTTATTTGCACAGATGCTTCATGAATCTTTGAAATCACATGGAGGTTTGGCTTAGACAAACTACGTCTCTTCACATTTAATGAAACGTAATATTATTAGATTGTATGAGATTTCACAATGGTTAAATAGGACTGTTGTGCCTTAGGAAGTTCTCAAAACCACTCTTCTCCATTTTCCTTTTATTTTAGGATCGATAGATCCTTTAATTTATGGCCCATATAATTTAATGTGTTACATTTGCAGAACCCTAGTTGTTAAGAGTACTGGTGTTTATAGACAACCAGAGATGGAGTATTAGCATTCTTTACAGTGTTGGTATTTTAATAACTTCTGAATGGATACCAGTTGGATCCCAGCAGCCATATATAAAGGGTTATACAGTAGATGCTTCTAACAGAATAGAATTCGGTTTGATACTGAAGTTTTGAAAATAACTTTCTGAAAACCTAATGACTGGAATGTATTTTAAATTATTCAAGTACAATTTAATTTTCATTTAGATTTCTCTCTTAATGCTTAGGTAAAGAATAACATGTTTTATTTTAAGAATTTGCACTTAATGAATTTTAAATTTTAGACAGAAACACTGAAACATAATGATCCTTTTGCTCCTGGTGGAACTACTGTGACTGCATCAAGTGATCCAGGTAAGAAATTATAATGACAATCTTAGCCTATTTGAGATGTGAGGCATATTTGGATTTTTGAGAGTACATCATAGCTACTTACTCAAAATGGCTCTCACAATGGGCATGGATTGCCAAGGATCCTTTACTAGAAAGCAGAGAGAAGACAGTTCCTACAATACCTCCTCAACCATTATAATCAGGCCCAACTTACTTTACTTTTTCTTTCTTTCCAAGGTAAGTTGGCTCATTTACAGAATACTGGATTATGGCTACCATTGACTGTTAAGCATGCTACTGAAAATATGCAGTTCAACAATTTTTCTTTTAAATTCCTGTTAGATTAAAAGAAAGTAATGTTAGAGGGGAATCTGATAAATACCAAGTAATATGTCCATAGGAGTTTGTTGTCCATAGGCTATATAAGGGGTCTGCAAACTTTGGCAACATTAAAACTTGTGGACTTCAATCCCAGAATTCCTCAGCCAGCCATAGTGCTGAGGAATTCTGGGAGTTGAAGTCCACAAGTTTTAAAGTTGCCATGTTTGAAGAATCCTGGGCTATATTTTAAAATCCCCTAGTTATGAGCAAGACAAGATTTATATATTTAATTGTGTTACATGTACCTGCATCTTTTTAGGTTTTAAAAAGCATCAAGCTCAGTCAAATTAATAATTTTAATAGCTTAATTACTTTATTTTTCAATCAAAACTAAAAATTTAATCCATTGTGTGATGTGTTTCATAATTTTAGGCATGACTATCTGCCAGAATACATTTTTGTGTTCTCTTAACTCTGACTAACTTCTGTAAACATGTTAAATTTTATTAGTTTCAACCCAAGAATTATAGTTCATTTCAAATCCTGGTTCACCGACAAAAGGGCGAAGGACAAAACCGCGCCCGACTGAACCGCGTCATTGACATCATCAACAGGGCGATAACAGCGTGGAGACAGAAGCACGCTGTAAACCCTAAACCTAAACTTAACCCCTAAACCTAAACCTAACCCCCCTAATCCTAAACTTAACCCCAAACCTAACCCTTAACCTAACCCTAAATCTAATCCTAACCCTTAACCTAACCCTAAAT